TATCCTTCTCTTCGTGAATTGCTCCTCTCAGGTAATCGCGGAACGTGCTCCTAAAATTTCTCTTACGGTGTGAAAGTATTTCTGTTGACAGACGAAGGACCAGTAGATTTGGGATGGTACAAGCAGTGATCGCTTTCCGTTTACCTGTTATATGTATCGGTTGTGGGAAATTGTAAAACTCCTGGGAACATAACATATTGAGATTTGTAATTTAGTTTTTTCTAATGCCATTCATTTCACTGATGACGAAATTTTAGATTCTATTGATGCCTCTCCGAATGGGTGCGAATGGACTGAACCTAACGGAAGCCAATCACATCATTTTCATGGAACCCATTACAGAGACATCCGTGCTTTCCCAGGTTTTGTATTATTGATTATCAAATTAATGAGAACAAGGGAACAAGAGCTTATGATTTCATGCATATTCATCTTTCTAAGCATTCACCCTTCAGGCTGTTGGCCGAATTGATCGTATTGGGCAGCGTCGTACTATTACAGTGCATAATTTTATTGTTAAAGGATCCATTGAGGTAATTATAACCCGTGCAATGGTGGCTGAGCTCTAGTAAAGGTTGCGAAAATCAGGAAATATCGCTTCAGGAAGAGATCTACAAGATTGTCAACGGAGGTGTGGAGCAAAGCAAATGGACATTGGCAACACTGTACCACGTGTTTGGCCTACCAGTAGACCTTGACCGAGACCAAATGCGTCCGGAAGCGTAGTGCGGGCTCTTAAGCTCCACTTTATTGCTTCCTATTACCATTTTCTTTTCATATTAAAGGCTGTTTTATGACGACTTTATTGATGTTCTATACTCATTTAGGAGCAGTTTTTTTTGCATTCTTATGAGCTGATTTTCTCTTATGACATCATTTTAAGATATTCCATAATTGTTCTTTGTAGGGGCGGTTTGCCGGCCTTTCAGTTTTTGCCTGCCGTTTTCTTACCACATTGAGCTTTTTTATGTCATTCATAGTTAGTTCAATAGTTCAATCATGTCATAATAGTGGTGTCCCGGACGTTGGAACCAACTGGATGTGTTGGTTAAAAGCGAATGTCTGACGGTCATATGGTATGGGTCAGGAGGTACTATTTGGTGTTAAGTCTGCAGCGGCGCGAATCATCCTTGCCGCGCACGGTTGTTTCGACGTCACCTCCTCACCTATACCCAGGTCCTAATTATCGCTGACTTTTGGGACATCAGACATAAACACATTAATCAATATCTGATTTACTCCATATTAATTGTGATACAGGGTGAAAATGTAGTTCGGGGGAGCCACTCATAATATCTAATCGAAGTGGAGTTGCGGAAGGGCGGTCATATCTAATCAACATTCAGAGCACAGTCTCTGAGTGTACGATTAGATATGGATACCAACCCGGGATTCCATACAAAATCGGATACCTGAAAGGCCCTTTCGCCAAGGGCTTGCATGGCAATCGCAAGGAAGGGTTGGTGAAAGTGAAGAGCCAGCAAGGTGACAGCCGTTTTCGCCATAGGACAAGGGTAACAAGTGTGACGAACTGGTCGTTTGCCGCTTAATCAGTGAAAGATATGATAAGATATGAGTGCCTTCCCGCAACTATACTTTGATTAGATATGAGTGTCTTCCGCTACTCCACTTCGATTAGATAGGGTGGCCCCCCGAACTACATTTTTACCGTGATACAGTAATAATATTGATTAATGCTGTGACTGTTTGCTTTATTGAGGCTGTTCTCAGAATAGGAATCTCAGACTTATTTTTCTAAAATTAAGCAATAGACTTAGGCGAGCGTTTTCCTTTAGAAACTTTTCCGTGTTGGCTTTATTATTCATATTTGTTATTGTTGACTGATTGTTTTTAGAAATGTTCATCATTTGTTAGTTCTATTTTTTTCGCAAGATACATTAGCATGATAATAAGGAAGGCCTACTGGAATCCATAGTTGTTCTTCCGGGATTTCTCCATGTGAGTGCCGGTCTTTGTTTACAAGGAAGACTTTAATAATCCTTGGAAATGACTTGATTAGGTTTGTGCATAGTTTAGTCATCTCTTCTTATGTGTACATCTTTCTTATTTTCCTGTGAATTTTCTGTCAAATAAAATCATTCCAATCTTCTGGTGGTCACTTTATGCTTTGAAGTTTGCTATTCGTTTTCAAATCTTTTTTGCGCGGAGATTTACATTGTACATTGGAAACGGTATCAGCAATCCATGTTCCTCTCCTTTTGCTGGATGCTGGGAAAACCTTACCGTTAAGAGTTACGGTGAAAAGGATATAAGCAGAGGTAGTTTTTTTTTGCGCGTTACCTTTCTCTTTTGGACGAGTTCGTTTCTAATTTGCATCAATCAATAGTATCAAAAGCTCCAATATTTTTCGAAAAGCAGAATTTCTATTTGATTTTTTTTTCAGGAGAAAAAGTAGTACTCAAAAATTCGTTCATGCTATATTTTTAACCCCTACTGTAACTCAAACTACTAACTGACAAGGATAATGATTCTGTTTTCAAATTTCTTTTCAGGCGAAAAGCGGTGGACATGGGGAAACTATCGGAAAGCCTCATACTTCTGTCTTGACGTCATCATTCTAAAAAGGATGTACGTCGAATGAAATCACAGTTCATGGAGATCTTATATCAAGTATTCCCACAGAAAATTATGTAAGTTAATTGAAGGGCATGGGATTCAACGTGTGACGGCAAGCACTGATCTGTACATTAACCTGAAAAATGGTATAGTAAGAAAAGTGTTGAAGATGGATCTCAGTTGAGGTTCGCGATAAAAAATGGTTTCCATGTAACGTCACGTACTGGAATCGCGTAACAGTCCACGGCTCAGATTCTGCGCTTTGCCGCATCTCTGGACTTTGCAAGATGTTCTAAAAACTCCTCATATTAGATCAGGGTGAAAATCGTGTGTCGAGGAAAACCCATCTGTGATACGACCCTCCCCCTAAACTGGGGGGTCTTGGTACGACCCCTTCCGCAAAGCGGAGTCTCGATACAACACTACTTCCCGCACACATCAAATGCCAACAAAACAGTGCTGAAGTACAATAACTGCTGTAAGAAAAGGAACTACGGCAAGAAAAGGATCCTGAAAAAATTTTCCTATTGTATGAGCACCGACTTTACAGGTACACACACGTTAAGGAAACTGAATAGGAACGGAGAATTCACCTCTTTGCGGCGACTACGGCGCTAAAACACCGATTTACACAAAGATCCTGAAAAAAAGAACTCTACTATTGTACGAGAACCGACTCTACACGAATACACACCGGAAAGAAAGATTGACAGCAATGAGAAAAAATGATAAATAGGACGTAACAGTGATAGAGTCACCGAATTTGAAGGAGCAGCTGTTCCCTCACGCGGCTGCGGCGCGGCTCACGCGCTGGAGCGATTTATCTCGAAAATTTGCCTCCTCCCCTTATGCTTCGAACCTTAATAACTTTTTCAAAACTTGATGTTTTAGAAAACGGCGGGTAAGTTTTGAAAGAGCTTCGACTGCAGTTTTTTATTATTTTTGAACTTGCCCTAAAGACTCTCTACTCTATTCAGGTGAGATTTTCCACGTCGAGTAAACGTCGAGGAACTCAAATTTGTCATGCGTATTTTAGCTGTTTTCAAGACGATAACTTTTTTAATTCTCGATTGTTCGGAAATGTATGGACACCTAAGAAAGTAGAAGAATTGCTCTTTCGAATGGTCGCCTGACTTGTTCCGAAAACTTCCCACTTAAGGAGAAATCTGCGTCGAGAAAATGACGAGGAGTTTTTTCTTCACTCAAAAACCAGATTCATGCCACATCATTGCAAGACAAATTCACTGAAACCTCTCAAAATGCGTCAGGAACGCATCGCTTCACCGTCGCTGGTACAACTAGATACGCTCGGCGCCGTTTAGCTTCAATCGAGTATGCGCCATGCCGTCGGTCTTCGCTCGTAAGTTTAAGTCAATTGAAAGGTTGTGTGCGCATGAAGACTTGCTAATAAAAACGGAAGTGTTCTCTGCGGTGACTAAACGTGAGGAATTCTTCCAATCACGGTCCAGCCTCAGTTGCTTACACTTGCAATTTATGGCGATAAACAGAAACTTGTAAATCTTTATGTCACGCACTCAATGACGGTTTATGGACTGAGTGGTAGAGGAGATGCCGATACAGTTCGAGATACAAAACATGATCGAGAGAACACTGAAGCCTCAATATTCTCCCCAGAAACTTTTAACACCTAGATTAACAGGGGACCTTTTATCTTTCAACAAAATGTGGTGTGTTTCAACAAAATGTCGTCTTTCTTTCCCGCCGTTTTACTTCATGCCTTTTGAGATGATCAGGTACATAACCACGAGGAGGGCTGAAGAGCATGGCGATGGGACCTGCTACTAATGAATCCTATTACATTCCCTTACGCATTGAGGTTTAACGAGAGAGGTGGTAGACCCCCCCCCGCCCACTTCCCCTAATCCTGTATCTTACAAATCGTCCGATACTGAGTCCGACAATTACGACCCCCCTCCGTTTCCACAGAGGCAAATACGACCCCCCCTCGACGAATTCCTCGACCGATATTCACCCTGTGTATTAGATTCAATTCATTGACAGTTTATTCACGCATGATAGTTTTTCCATGCAGTGAGATACGATTAGATTTGGAGTTGTGGATCAAAAAAGAACAGCTTCAGAGCGAAATCGGAGTCCCCCCATGAGGACGCGTACGCTCGGCCAGAGGAGAGCGCGACGAGTTTGCAGCGACAGCCGGGTGTGCGAAGGTAGGGGACGTGTCAGGAGAAAGTCTATTTAACTTGACGCGAAATTATCTTACAGTTATCGCACGCTACTCGTCCGCTGGACTTTGACCTTCTTTGCCGGCGCCGGTCTCACCCGAAAATTCTCTTTACGGGTTAAAAGAAAACGGCGCAATGGCAGCATGTGGCTGTAGACAGCAAAAAGGGGCACTTATCACGAGTTTGGTCTGCAATTGAGTACCCGAATCGGGGGGACTGGAGATGGGAGCAGATGTGGGATCGTTACATCGAGGTAGGTCTATAAGGTCTATAAATGGAAGTAAGAAGAACTCTCCCCAGAGAGTCAAATTTTCCTGATTTTCTTAGCAAGAGGTTTTTCAACGGTGTCATAAAAAAGCAAACTTTGCCTTGCTTTTCTTTCGTATTAAAAGCGTTGCAATCGAGCTGTGGACGGTTGACTTCCGCGTTGACTGCGACATCTACACGTAGGGGTTTCCAGAGCTCAACTCCTCTCGTGTTCCACCAAAAATCCGAGAAGGCCCTACTTGGACGAGGTTGAACTTAGCAGTAAGAACTCCCGAAGCGTTTGAGCTGGACTACCGCCGCTTGTTCATTTGTTAGCACACTGTACCCACTCCTCATCTTCGGCAAATGTGATGGATGGTCAATCGAAGAATCCATAGTAAGTCGACTTGAACATGACGATGTCAGATCGTGTTTGGAGCTGATTCGGGCTCAAGGCATGTGGGATCCAAACTCTATATTTTCGGATCTTCACAAGTCTTTGGAGATGCCACAGTGCTGTCTCCTTGTCGCATCGAATTGCTCTAGCAAATGATCGATAGTCTATCCAGATCCCTTTTCAACAGCGTCAGGTAGAGCATCGTGATTGCCAGTCACGGGGTGGTTGGAGTGTGGATCATTTCAAATAAAAAAGTCAACGCTGAGCAGAGTGAAGCGCCGTGCACCGTGAATTGAGAGAGC